CCTTCCGAGGTTTCATTGTTACTTTTACCTGGCCTCTCGTGTTTCACAATGAATCAAAACTAAAAAGGAACAAAATTGCGTTATGCTTAAATAGGCACATGATAGCTTTATTGGCATCGACTAAGAAGACATATACAGGTACATTCAAGTTCGAGTCCATCTATCATTGCAGATTTATGGCAATATTCTTGGACAGTAGCCGAACAAGGAGTTTATTCTCTGGGTTGGTTCAGTTCAAGTGACAGCGATCCGCTACGGTGATGATTTTATATGGTTTTCGCTGAAATCATTTCCCGTTTTTTTTTTCCGGTAGGTACATTTTAATGCAGGTGTTCGTTACACAGTCCGAATAGTGAATGGTGGCCACCGGGACACTAAAACCATTTTACACCATAAAACGGTTGTCATTTTAGACACGAGAACAGTAGCCGAAGCTTTAGGTATTTATGACAGAAGTCGTCAAGGTGTTCCGTAAAATGGGTTAAATTTTCACTACCCGTATAGTACCCTTTATTTTTACTCTCTGTAACTGAATTGTTGACGTTGGTGATATAATAAGTATCCATTAAAAAATTTGAGTGAAACATTATATAGATTTATTTAGTTATACAAAATTAGAAAGTTATTATTTCAATGAATTAAACATTCAGTTATTTAGCAGAAGAGTCTGGATGAAAAACGATTCCCAAGGTTTGCAAAAAGCAGACATTGATTATTTATATTATACCTACATAATCGCCCAGAATTAAATCCTTAAATAAATAAAAATCCAAGAATATTTACCGGTAAAAGTTCAGAGTTTTCTTTATTTAATTGCTAATATACATTTAGAGTACACGTACAGGGTATTTTCGTACTAAAATTATCATAACTGAAGTGCTCAAAAAGATCCAGGGTGTCAAATGAACCCCCGTAAGCCTTAAAAGATTCACCATGAACCCTAACAACGTTATATAAAATGAGTAGCTAATAAAAAAATCAGTCCAAAAGCGAAACAATATTCAGAATATTACACTATAAAAGGAAGGTTTGGTTTGTATTAAACTTGTTTTTCAACTACTAATAATAACCGAGCAATATTGTACTTCAATTCATTGATAGACCTTACTATCTAGTAGTAAAAACGGTAACTTATATCGGAATAAGAAATTAATATAATAATGATGCAATGTATAATATAAAGATAAGTACCACATTCGTTAATAAAAAATTAAACATGCTGAACCACAAATCAATGTTTAAAGATGTTCTTTGCAACCATGATTTCTGACAATTAATCTTTTTAATTGGGATTCTAATACCAGAATGATTTCACGTGTCTAAAAAGGGGTCCAAGTTTTAACCCTTCCGGAACTGTTCTACAAAAAGTTACGATTCAAGCCGTGTGGAGGACAATTTCGTCCCTTATGTAAATAATTAACGTTTATTTACAAAGTTATGCAATAAAAAACTAACAATTACTTCCTAAACGTATAGGAGGTATCCACCTTGTTGCTTTCAGTTTTTCATGGAAAATTTCAATTAAATTGAATGTTTTTATTAAAGGAGGACTTAGTGGTATGTACCTACATTTTCTAGGATTATATTATTGTAAAGAAGTAAAAAAAGAGAACCATTCGAAGAGTTATTAAAAAGGAACAGTTAATAAAAAAAACCTCGCTCAATCTGGGAAAAGCTGGAAAAATTATTAATTATTGAACTAATTCAATGAAAACCAGGAAACACAAGGATGTTTCACAAAATATCGTTTCAACTGATGCGATTACTATTTATACAGGATTGTAAAGGAGGTAGGGGAGAAGTGTATAAACTAAGAAGAATTGGATATATTTCATTTTAATTGATTATTAGTTGAATAGGTCCTCAATTATCAGGTAGAATACGAAACGTTGAAAAAAGAAACATAATTAACATAATATTAAAACAATTAAGTTTCTCATTAATTTGTCTTTCTCTTTGGCTGTTTAACGAATTAAAAACACCGTAGATCACATCCGACGAATNAGCATAGTAGTGACTTCTTTTTATTGAAGGCGACTCGACCCTGCGCTATCCTTTGCTTTATATCCCTACTACTCCTTCCCTAAACCGTATATTTTATGTATTTGTTTTACCAAATAAATGCTTAATCTGCTTCTGTTATGCGATGGTTTTAAATAAAGTATTTGTAGTAGTTGCTTTCCATTATATCTTTCTTTATTCTCTACTTATTCCGTTGGCAATAATAATAACGAGGTGCTCCATGCCACCTTCCGAGGTTTCATTGTTACTTTTACCTGGCCTCTCGTGTTTCACAATGAATCAAAACTAAAAAGGAACAAAATTGCGTTATGCTTAAATAGGCACATGATAGCTTTATTGGCATCGACTAAGAAGACATATACAGGTACATTCAAGTTCGAGTCCATCTATCATTGCAGATTTATGGCAATATTCTTGGACAGTAGCCGAACAAGGAGTTTATTCTCTGGGTTGGTTCAGTTCAAGTGACAGCGATCCGCTACGGTGATGATTTTATATGGTTTTCGCTGAAATCATTTCCCGTTTTTTTTTTCCGGTAGGTACATTTTAATGCAGGTGTTCGTTACACAGTCCGAATAGTGAATGGTGGCCACCGGGACACTAAAACCATTTTACACCATAAAACGGTTGTCATTTTAGACACGAGAACAGTAGCCGAAGCTTTAGGTATTTATGACAGAAGTCGTCAAGGTGTTCCGTAAAATGGGTTAAATTTTCACTACCCGTATAGTACCCTTTATTTTTACTCTCTGTAACTGAATTGTTGACGTTGGTGATATAATAAGTATCCATTAAAAAATTTGAGTGAAACATTATATAGATTTATTTAGTTATACAAAATTAGAAAGTTATTATTTCAATGAATTAAACATTCAGTTATTTAGCAGAAGAGTCTGGATGAAAAACGATTCCCAAGGTTTGCAAAAAGCAGACATTGCTTATTTATATTATACCTACATAATCGCCCAGAATTAAATCCTTAAATAAATAAAAATCCAAGAATATTTACCGGTAAAAGTTCAGAGTTTTCTTTATTTAATTGCTAATATACATTTAGAGTACACGTACAGGGTATTTTCGTACTAAAATTATCATAACTGAAGTGCTCAAAAAGATCCAGGGTGTCAAATGAACCCCCGTAAGCCTTAAAAGATTCGCCATGAACCCTAACAACGTTATATAAAATGAGTAGCTAATAAAAAAATCAGTCCAAAAGCGAAACAATATTCAGAATATTACACTATAAAAGGAAGGTTTGGTTTGTATTAAACTTGTTTTTCAACTACTAATAATAACCGAGCAATATTGTACTTCAATTCATTGATAGACCTTACTATCTAGTAGTAAAAACGGTAACTTATATCGGAATAAGAAATTAATATAATAATGATGCAATGTATAATATAAAGATAAGTACCACATTCGTTAATAAAAAATTAAACATGCTGAACCACAAATCAATGTTTAAAGATGTTCTTTGCAACCATGATTTCTGACAATTAATCTTTTTAATTGGGATTCTAATACCAGAATGATTTCACGTGTCTAAAAAGGGGTCCAAGTTTTAACCCTTCCGGAACTGTTCTACAAAAAGTTACGATTCAAGCCGTGTGGAGGACAATTTCGTCCCTTATGTAAATAATTAACGTTTATTTACAAAGTTATGCAATAAAAAACTAACAATTACTTCCTAAACGTATAGGAGGTATCCACCTTGTTGCTTTCAGTTTTTCATGGAAAATTTCAATTAAATTGAATGTTTTTATTAAAGGAGGACTTAGTGGTATGTACCTACATTTTCTAGGATTATATTATTGTAAAGAAGTAAAAAAAGAGAACCATTCGAAGAGTTATTAAAAAGGAACAGTTAATAAAAAAAACCTCGCTCAATCTGGGAAAAGCTGGAAAAATTATTAATTATTGAACTAATTCAATGAAAACCAGGAAACACAAGGATGTTTCACAAAATATCGTTTCAACTGATGCGATTACTATTTATACAGGATTGTAAAGGAGGTAGGGGAGAAGTGTATAAACTAAGAAGAATTGGATATATTTCATTTTAATTGATTATTAGTTGAATAGGTCCTCAATTATCAGGTAGAATACGAAACGTTGAAAAAAGAAACATAATTAACATAATATTAAAACAATTAAGTTTCTCATTAATTTGTCTTTCTCTTTGGCTGTTTAACGAATTAAAAACACCGTAGATCACATCCGACGAATAAAAAGAAAACTACAAGAAACGGAGTGAGTATCGAACGACTTAGGTTAAATTAACGATTTCACAATTTGTTGTTTTTTTGGGATGAACTCCTTAATTTCCCGTGCGAATTCGCATCGGAATTCCGTCGAAAGGAAAACATGCTATTCCAATTTGCATAATGGTCTATTAATAACGAAACGAGGTTAGACTAACAATATCAATTAGTCAACCATTTAATTAAAATAATTCGGTGAGGACAGTTAAAAGTGAAGGATTTAGATACATACAAGAAGAGAAGGAGCAGGTAGGAATACAAAAAAAACAAATGAAGAGAGCAACGCAAAGGAAGAGAACTGAGAAACTTAAAGTGGTATTTCGGGTAGTTGATATCTCAGCATCTCTCCACCTCATGCGTTCAGTCGCTATTTGTTATTTTAACAGATAACACATCAATAAACGCGCCCTATTAGCCCCAATTGAACGGTAATTTGACTCTTATCTTAAGTCTGACCTCTTCAAGGCTACCTTCGATTTAACACAATTATTTGTTTGATGTTTTTTGAATACCAATCACTTTGCCATAAGGATATTCAAGTCAGTTTTAAAAATATGGAATACGAGATGAAGTTTTTTATTCTTAAGAAACCAACATCTTCATCCCATATTGACTTTCATTCATAAAACAAGAGGAAATTTTTATATTTACAATTTGATTTGTAAAATCTTACTACTATATAAATATTAGGTACTATAAACGTTGTATACTCACCTCTGTCGACAATTTTTCCGAATAAATTCTTTCCCCTTAAAAAATTTTTGGTGGAACAATTCCACCGCCTGTTTCTGAACTGATACTGGCATTCGTGAATGGCCATATTTGCCCCCTTGGCTATCGCATCCAAAACGCCAGGGTTTTCCCTGGCAAGCCGCCTCTGTTTCTTCCTTAGCGTTCCGTGAACAGAGGGATCCATGTAAGACAATCCGGGCTTCAAAGGCGAAATGTTGTTGGGTTCTCCTGCCATCGCTATGCCCCTTTAATAGAAATTTTCATTAGAAGTTATGAAACTTTCTTCTGATTTTAATTAAAACTTTAATACTTTAAATAGCCTACTTTTTAGATTCACATAGAATTCGTAGATTTAGAAAAAGCATTTGGAAATATTAAATGGAACAAGGTGTTAAACATACTTAAAAATATAGGGATGAATTACAGAGATAGAAGAATGATACTTAGTTGGTATAAAGAGCAACAAGAGCTGGGGTTGCAACGTAGAGAATAGAACGAAAATATTAGGAAGGGAGTTAGACAGGGATGCACACTGTCACTGCTACTTTTTAATCTATATATCGAAGACGCAAACAACATCATTAAAAACTGTACAACTGTAGGAATACATATACATGGGCAAAAGATTAGTATGCTTAGATTTGATGATGATATAGCAGTATTAGCATCTAGCAAGGAGGTATTAGAAAGAATAGGAGAACAGAGGACTCTATGGAAATCAATAATAAATAAGCGAGATAGGTTGGTAGGACACCTTCTCAGGCATGAAGGTCTAGTCAGAGACATATTAGAGGAAGAAACATGAGTTAAGAGGAGTAGAGGTAGACCTAGATTAGATTACTGTTCGCAATTAATTAAGGAGGTGGGTTGTTCTAGTTTTAGGGAAATGCGAAGATTAGCTAAGGATAGGAAAGGGTGGAGGCGCATGTCCAACCAGTCTTAGGACTGACGATCTTATAATGATGAATTATATTTACCTTTTGAGCTATACAATTGCATTATAGATTCCAATAATATTTATTAATTTCCTTACAATAATTTCAGCATACAATCACATGTTCAGAAGAATGAATGAACGAATGAATTATTTTAAAGATGTCCTAATAAGGGAAAAAAATTGTAAAGAAGTTAGAATCTTTTATGAAAGTTTTGAATTAATTACATCTTCTGACTTTATAACACATAAAATTAGTCATGATTTTTGGACAGTTTATTTATACTGTCTCTGATTAGTACCTATATAAACTAATACCCAAATTATTTGATTAATTGTATTACAATGGACGATACGCAGAAACCCATAAAAGAATTGAAACAATCACTAATTCTTTTAATAGGACTGACGTTTCTGATTATTATTTCTTCACAAGCTATATAAATATAATTAAGATGCGTGCATTAATTAATAACTCATCTAGTTTTCTTTTTTAAGTAGATGCTTACGAACTGATTGAAATTATAAACATGTCCACCGTGTGTAGGTACTTCCTTATAGTCGTTTATTTGCAGAGCTCGTTACATTAACTGCCAATTATAGACTTGAATAAGTTAAGTCAATAAACGAGCAAATGAAGACGATCAAACAAATATTTAATTGCATATGTCAACATGCAGTCATTTTTTTAAATGAATATGCTACTTATGTGTTGATGGTAATTGAATCGAGTAAACTAAACATTGCGCTTCAAAAAATATTACTGGCTTCTAGCTCCATACTACGCTAACAGCGATCTTCTCATTTATTTATTTTATTTTATTTTATAAAGTATACGCGAAATGATTTTCTATTAAGAAAAACTGAATGTAATAAGAAACTCGCATATTTGATTTAAGTATTTCCTAGTCATACTGCAAAAATTTGATTCGAAAGTTCCTAATCTACTTCGTAATATTAGCTTGGTAGAGGAGGATGGAATATCAAGTAAATTAAGATCAGTAAACAAATGAACACGCACAATCTATTAAAGATTTACAATTTAAGTCAGTTTAATTACAAATGTTAAATGTCTGTCGCGGAGATTTCTAGTCTAAACTGCGCACATTGTTTGATGACAGAGTGTTAGCTAGAATTCTTTGTAAAAAATATACATCATCAATGTCCCTAATTGATTTAAGCGAATAAACAATTAATTCAGAGGCTATTGATGTATACTTATGATCGGATTTTATTGTAGGCTTACCTAGTCGAAATGACATTAATCTGAAGAAATTATGCTGTAGTTTTTCAAGAAGGTGTGACTAATAAGATTGGACGGATTCTATATCGGGCTAGCATAAGTAAGGATAGACCTGACCAATGCATAGTTAAGAATTTTCAATGTGTCTACCCTTCGGAACTCTGCAGACTTTCATATTATTAAATACTACTACCTTTCAACAGAGCAAATATTTTATTAAATTATTTACTTTTGGCATTTTCAAATTTCTTAAAAGAATACATATTTTATTAGAAAACAATGATGACTTTCTTATAAACGAGCTTTTATTGTATTCGCAAATTTTCTTCCAATTAATTCTAGACTATGAATATTAAACAGTTGCATAACTAACCTTATTAAAAGGCCGATCTGTAACAACTATGCGTACTTATGTTTTACTACTAAATATTAAGTAAATTATGACAATTTTTCTTTTTCCAAAATAGTAATGAGAAAAATTGGTCTTGGTATTGTAGTCTTGGCAAAATGCAAGTCCAATATCAAACCCATGACTAAAACTAAGACCGAACAAACAATACCAAGACTAAAATCAAGATTGAACGAACAAAACCAAGACCGAATGAACAAGACCAAGACTAAAACCAAAACCAAACGAATAAGACCAAGACTAAAACCAACTCCGAATAAGCAAGACCAAATTTAAAACAAAGAAACTTTACCACTGAAAAGGAATCTACACGAATTTCCTCGCAGTAAGTGTTTTTTGTTCCTATATCTGGATAACACATATAGAGACAAACTGATTTTTCTTCGATATTTTTACTTCTTTCGAGTACCATATAGGTACTATTTCGTTCGCGAAAAGGTCAATTTATGCTTTGATGGGGGGGGGGTCAAGTTACGCATTGTAGGAAGGGTAAGTTCTCTTGTTTCCATAACAACTATCGACACTATTCTGTTTTTTTTTTAATCATGACAAGTTCGCATATATGAAAGGAAATTTCGGTATATTTAAATTCTTAGGTTAAGACTTAATACACAAGACCATAACCAAAACGAAGACCAAGACAGGGACTATATCGTCAAGATCAAGTCCGAGACCAAGAATAGAAGTATTGCTTTACTAATCAGTCATAACATTTCAAAAGCATACGATAGGCTGTAGTTATAAAAGGTATACTCCGATAGTTTCAACTTTTATAATATTTATTTGGTCCTTTTGTGTATCAGTAGGAAGAACCATAAAATTAAACGAACGTTGCGGATAGCGCCGGTGATCTGTAATAATAACAAGTGTACTTTCCAATCAAAATGCTTACAATAAATTGAAATTTATTAGTACCCAGAGTAGTAAAACGAATCAATAAACTTTTCATTTGCATTCCGTGCGCTGACTATTATCTTGTACTGATTTCATATCCTCTTTAATAACTTCGTTAATTTTTAAGTACCATCATACAGGTCTTCTAACTTTAACAAAGCGATAAATTGCTTTTAATCCAGGCTCGCGTATATACACTTATTCTCAACCGCATCAATAATATTTTGCGGTTTACTGATTAATTGTTTGTTATCAGGTATTACCTGATAAAATGTTTCTAAAATACCCTCATCTCGTTACTGAAATAATGTAAAAATTCTCCATGGTTTAACGGTAGGTATTTCATTTATGTGGGAATTACTTCAACAAGCGAGGCATCAAGATTATAACTTTGTCCAATAGCATATTAATTTCTTCTGTGCAACCATATCGGTCGTTATTACAAATAGAAAACAAAAAATAATATAAGAAGTTCGAAAAACCATTAATATTGCTTTTTGATTTAAAACTAATAAAAATAAACCAAAGCAAAACTGATTAATAGTCGAAATCGGCGATCTGTGTCTATTAAAATGTGACAATTGCATCATGTATTACGTCGGGCAAATCGGTGGACCTTTCAATCAAAGGAAAATATAAAGGATATAAACAAATTAGAAACTACAGGAAGTCAAAAATAATACGATTAGGAGACGAAGAAGTGTTTAAAAAAAATTATTTTGACATTTTTTATATTATTTCTGATAGAAATGAATTTTTTAAGGAATTACTCTCCTATATTTTACCTTATTAATACATAATACATATGTAGTAACTTAAAAAATTACTATTTTGTTTATTTTTTGTAGTATATTATCTAAAGTTTACATTCGTACTTAATAACACCATCAAAAAAAAAACTTGCAATTTAGGGTGCTAGGTAGGTATGTTGTAGGAGTGTTCGCCGCAAAAATAAATTCCTGTCGTTGAAAATAATTACCTTTTGGAATATTCAACAATGAACACGTTTTATGTCCATAGTGATACAACCGCAGTAGTAATTTACGGCAACATTAAAGTTAATTAAGGTTTAAAGTATAAAATTGCTTTATTCTTGTTACCTATAATTACGAGGGTGGATTGATAAGTTTCCGGCCTAACCAAGAGATGACGCCACTAGGCCTACCTTGAGGTGACATTCTATAGTACCATCCTTGGATAGCTTGTAGCTATAGTTTCAGCCCGATCTCCTTGCTAGTGTAGGTTTGACAGCACGCTGAACAAGACGCCTCTGTGGTTTTCGTAAAAATGGAAAAGCAGGAAAATCGTGCTGTCATCAAATACTTTTATTTGAAGGGGTTAACGCCGAAGGAAATTAAAAAAGAGATGGACTCAACACTGGGGACATCCTCCCCGTCATATTCAACCGTTAAGCAGTGGGTTTCCGAGTTTAAAAAGGGTCGTGTGAGCACCTCTGATGGGCCTCGCTCAGGACGCCCCGTTGAGGTCACAACTCCAGATATGATCGAAAAAATTCATCAAATAGTGCTGGGAGACCGCAGATTGAAAGTGCGTGAGATAGCTGAGACCTGTAAGATGTCATATGAACGTGTGCAACATATTTTGCACCAACATTTGCATATGGAAAAGCTCTGTGCAAGATGGGTGCCGCGTTTGCTAACAGTCGACCAAAAATTGATTCGAAAAAACATTTCTACCGCAAATTTGTCATTGTATAAGCGTAATCCAAGCGAATTTTTGCGTCGATTCGTAACCGTTGACGAAA